GCACAGGTTTCTGGAAATTGCCAGGCTTGTCAAGACCACGCCCAACATACAGTGTCACTGTAGGGAAGTCCCGCGTGAGAGACGCGATTTGGGGATAAGTTGTGAGGAAGTATCAGGCGGGAGCCGCTGTTGTTGTAGAGCGGGGGCCAGGGGCACAGCTTGGTGACACCTCACTTTCCCTTGTAATAAAACAGGGTACGAGCCCCAGGAGAAGCACGTTCATTGAAACATGCAATGGTTACTGGAGGGGGGATCAACAATAATTATCATATAGAAATTTAGATATGAGATCTCAACAGCGACCACAACAACACCACCACCACCAACAACAATAATTTTGAGACTGTTCGCCCTTAAATGCTCGAGTGTCCAATAACGCGTACTTCCCAAACCCTCGATACCCGCCCTCTTCGTCTTCGATCGAACCCCTTTTGGGGGGTAAACCTCTCTTCCATGCAGGCCAGGCCCCGGCAAGCGGCGGGGCGGCCGCGGACCGTCGGCCTTGCCAGCGGCAGCGCTGATCGGCGGGGCGGCCGCGGACCGTCGACCCGACCCCAAGAGGGACGGACAGGGGACCGACCACGACGACGACGACGACGACGACGACGACGACGACGTCGAAGACGACGGCGACGACGACGGCGACGACGAGCGAAAGCGAGAGCGACAGCAGGGCCACGAAGGGCACGCAGTAGGCCACGAAGGGCGACAGCGGGGACACGAAGGGAATGCGTATGGGGCCACGAAGAGCGCGAACGAGCGGGGGCCACGAAGTGCAGATAATGCGGGGCCACAGGCCACGTAGGACAGTGAGGGGGACACAAATTGCGACAGCGGGGCCACGAAGGGCATGCACATGGGGCCACAACGGGCGCGACTCCTGGGTGCCTGGGTGTCGGGAGCGCGGCGCTTGGGCAAATTGCAAGAAATTCTAACGCAAAGGCCGTTCTTCAGTAAATTGCAAGCAAATCTCCAGCGAGAGCGCGACTCCAGAGCGCCGGGAGAGCGATTCCTGAAAAAATTGTCAGGAAGTCCCAGGCGAGAGCGCGATTCTTGAATAAAATGCGAGGAAGTCTCGGGCGGGAGCGGGAGTCCTGGCTAAATTGTAAGGAAGTCTCAGGCGGGAGCCGTTGTTGTTGTAACCTGGGGGCCAGGGGCCCAGTTTGAGCATCAAGACTTTCCCTGTCAAAAAACAGGGTACGAGCGTCGAGGGGCACACTTTGATTGAGAAAAAAACAGTATGCACCGGTGGAGGGATCAACAATAATTATTCTTCAGAAATGAGAATTCAACACTGTATAGAAAGATGGGGACAGAAAGGAAGGTAGGGAGACGGAGGGAGGAAGTGGGGGAGAAAGGCAGAGAGGTAGAGTGGGAGGAGGTGGATGGGGATTTCCAGTGTTTCGAGCAGCGAGTCATTACTACCACGAGGTGAACGTTTACCTGCACAAGATGTCATGAAAGGATATGGTAGCGAGGCGGCGATTCACGTGGAGGTCATGTCGAGCTGACACCCAAACGTCAGTCCAAAACATCTCTGCACTCCCCAGGGCGGTGCCTGTGCGGGGGTGCTTGCCGTGACGCAGCAAGCGTAGGCTGCGTCGGACGGAGCGGCCATGTCTTGGCCGAGCTGGCTGTGCCAGCCGACGGGTGCGCCCCACAGGGGCGGCAAAGCACGCACGGGACGCGTGCCTATCTCGTCGCCCGACATGGCGGGTTCCGGAAACCCTGGGCCTTACAACAATGGCCAACTCTTGGGTCGGGGACCTACTGACCCAGGTCAATGCGAACCCGGGTCAGTCCGGCTTGGCAGGATCCTGCAGGATCCTGCAGGATCCTGCGCCCAAGCCCGGGTCAACGCAACCCTGGCTCCGCAGGATCCTGCGAAGTCGGGCGCTCGGACTGACCCCCGTCTGCACTGACCCCTGTCCCTCGAGCCCCGAGGGGAGGGGGAATCTCCCAACGCCGGCCCCGAGGGAGAGGGGGGAGCGCCCTCCCCCCGCAGGGAGGGGCCTCTGCGCCTGGGCGCGGAAGGCCTCCTTCTTCGCGGAGGTGATGGCCAACTGCTCCTGGGAGGGGCGGCGGGCTGGGAGGGGGGGGGCATACGGCCCCCAGGGTCCCAACGCCCACAGGCACCGCACTCTCGGCTGCATATTGGGGGGAAGACAGAAAGGAATATACGATAAGCAAATAAACGTAGATACATATACACACATATATATATACACATAAAACAATGTACAGATGCACATATGTTGAAAATACGTTTATATCCGAATGGGGGAGGTCGAACAATCTTACACTGTCTCCAGGTGCGTGGCCAAAGTGAGTTCCCGCAGTGCGGATTAGTGTTGTTTTGTTTCGATGTGATGTATGTTGTTTTGTTTTGTTTTGTTGTCGTCGTCCCCTCCGCGACCCACCCCGCGACTCACCCGCGACCCAACCCGCGACCAACCCACCCGCGCCCGCCTCCTCACACTTATGCGCAACTGCGGGGTGCTGCATAGACATATGTATACAAGTGACACATGCGTGCCCAAGCTCATACAGAACGGACTGCAGCACTTAAGCACCGCAGAAAATTCTGAAGAAGAGGACGAATGAGAATGAAAAGCGAAGGAAAACGGAGAGAAGGAGGAAGGATCACCAGGGGGTTGCTGGGAAAGAGGTGCAACAGCGGGGTCGCAATCGAACGTAAATGGGGTTGCCACACCTTGCGATATGTGTGACTGCGTGTGGAGCGGCGTCCCAAATCATTGACCACCAAGATGTGCTATATTAAACAGTTGAATTGCCCTTGTTATGTTGCACAATGACGTCTCGCTATGCGAGAGGTGTGCGTCCGAAACTCAGAATGTTGAGGATGTCCCGAATGAAACTGTCAAACAACATCGCGAACGGGACGGCTTCAATTCATCGCCTCTGAACTTCTACCCCCTCGGTGAAATTAGTATGATAATATTTGTATATATTTATACATGCATACCGAGCGAGAGAGAGAGAGAGGGAGAGCGAGACGACGAAAGAGGAGGCAGAGAGAAAGAGAGAGAGATGCTTTACATACATCTGTCGATATGTAGACGAGAGTGGTGGAGAGAGAGAGAGAGAGAGAGAGAAGGAGAGAGAGAGAGATAATAAAAAGGGGTAAGAGAGAGAGTGAGAGGGAGTTACGTAGAGAATTGAAAGAGAGAGAGAGAGAGAGAGAAAAAGAGAGAGAGAGAGAGAGAAAGAGAGGGAGAGAGAGAGATCGGCGAGGGGAGTAGAGAGAGCGAGGAGAAGTATGGGGGGAAGGGACAGAGGCAAGAGAGGCGAAGGAAATGGAGGGAGGGCGGCAAGGGAGGACGGAAGAAGGGGTCGCTAGGGAGGGGAGAGGCGTTATTTGCCTGTCATTCACAACACGTGCAACATCATGTCAACTCTGAATGGAAGGATTCTTAAAGCAACTACATGTCAACACAAGTGCAATATAATCGGCATTAGATTGGTCTTGGGATCCTCCTTTGGTCTCGGACTGAGTATGCCCAACTATTCGGGCACCCCTGGTCCAGTTCGCCCTCAGCGTTTCGGCGTGTGGTTGGCCATCCTCCAGGACCTGCCACAACCAACCACACGGGGCAGGCCGACGCTGTCACCAACGACATCACTGTTTCCTCTGGGACTCCTTCGTACACACCAAAGTCGCCAGAAGATGTCAAGCAAAGTTATTGGAACCTGCTGTTTTGGCCTTCAAAGAAGGGAGGAAACAACTAGAGGAGGAGGCCGATGGAACTAATGGGGCGGAGGACAGGGGGGGGAGCCAGTGCGAGGTGCTGGCAGGACTATGATGCTGGGTCCCCCAAAAGTGCCGACAATTCATCCTCGAACCTGAACATCTGCAACTTCCTCTCTCACACTTCCTCCTCCTCCTCCTCCTCCTCCTCCTCCACGTCCTCCTCTTCCCCCTCCTCCTCCTCCTCCTCTTCCTCCTCACGCTGTCCTCCTCCACCTCACGTCCTTCTCCTCGTAGTCCTGATCATAAACTCAGGCCCATCACGTGTGCGAGCGGGGAGGAATGTAAAGGCACCCGTCATGTGCAAGCCATAAGCAGCATGCGAGCGTCTCCTGCAATGATCGGATCTTCTTTGACAGCTTGGAGTTGTCCTGCAGCGACTGCTGGTATCGTTCCTGTTGCACACCACGGGATATCTGGTCCTGGCGGAAGAGGCGGAGGAACACGAAGCCGCGATGGGGGCTCTAGCCTTGGCCCCAGCACTGATACACACAGAAGGCGAATCATTGGTTTTTGGAAATCTGCGCCAACTTTCTACATTTTCTGTTAACGCGGCTTTCTGCGAACACCAGAATCAAAACAAATGGAGTGTGGACAGAGCGCGTCCCGGGGAACAGCTCGGACGAGGAAGCCATTCGTAGCTCGGCACGTGTGCGCGTCGGCTCCTTCGACCCACTGGCCCGTAAGCCCCCCCCCGTCCTCCCCCCCTCCTCCTCCTCCTCCTCCTCCTCCTCCTCCTCCTCCTCCTTTTCTTCTTCTTCTTCATTGTAATTCTCTACGATTCGTATTATCAGTATCCTTGATATCTAAAATTTTATTAATATTAGGACTATTGGTATGACTATCACTATGGATACTCGTTTTGCTCTTACTACTGTTATTGTTGCTAGTCTTGTTGTTCGCCTGATCATGCTTAGCATCTTTGTCAGTCATCGTATTCTTAGTATTACCCTTATTCTTATTATGATCCCAGTGTAGGGTATTCGTCGTATTAAAACGATTGACAGCATTAGTAGTATTCGTTAGTATTAAGATCGTTGTCGTTTTCATTATTACGATTACAATTACTCGTACGAGTCATACTATTATGTTTGTAAACATCAAACTACATGTCATTGTGAGCATTCTTGTTATTGGTACTACTATGATTACGCTTGGTAATGTTAGTACTACTTGTATTGTTAGTAATCTCTTTACTATGAAACGTATTCATACTATTAATATTCTTCGTCTTCCGCTTCCTTCTGCTCGTCCTCCTGGTCCACCTCCTCCTTCTTGTTCAGCTCCTCCCCCCTCCTCCCCTTCCCCCCGTAGGGGTTTTGAGCAAGACCCCTGGAGACAACAATGTTCAAACTTCCTTGAGACATCCTCACAAAACCGGCCCCGGGGGAGGTGCCCAGAGGAGCCCAGAGCGGCCTCCGGCACCGTTTCCGGACAGATCCGGTGGATCCGGTGACGAATCCCAAACCGGCGCCCTCGCTTGAGACATCCTCACAAAACCGGCCCCGGGGGAGGTGCCCAGAGGAGCCCAGAGCGGCCTCCGGCACCGTTTCCGGACAGATCCGGTGGATCCGGTGACGAATCCCAAACCGGCGCCCTCGCTTGAGACATCCTCACAAAACCGGCCCCGGGGGAGGTGCCCAGAGGAGCCCAGAGCGGCCTCCGGCACCGTTTCCGGACAGATCCGGTGGATCCGGTGACGAATCCCAAACCGGCGCCCTCGCTTGAGACATCCTCACAAAACCGGCCCCGGGGGAGGTGCCCAGAGGAGCCCAGAGCGGCCTCCGGCACCGTTTCCGGACAGATCCGGTGGATCCGCTGGATCCGCTGGATCCGGTGACGAATCCCAAACCGGCGCCCTCGCTTGAGACATCCTCACAAAACCGGCCCCGGGGGAGGTGCCCAGAGGAGCCCAGAGCGGCCTCCGGCACCGTTTCCGGACGGATCCGCTGGATCCGGGATCCGGTGACGAATCCCAAACCGGCGCCCTCGCTTGAGACATCCTCACAAAACCGGCCCCGGGGGAGGTGCCCAGAGGAGCCCAGAGCGGCCTCCGGCACCGTTTCCGGACAGATCCGGTGGATCCGCTGGATCCGGTGACGAATCCCAAACCGGCGCCCTCGCTTGAGACATCCTCACAAAACCGGCCCCGGGGGAGGTGCCCAGAGGAGCCCAGAGCGGCCTCCGGCACCGTTTCCGGACAGATCCGGTGGATCCGCTGGATCCGACGAATCCCAAACCGGCGCCCTCGCTTGAGACATCCTCACAAAACCGGCCCCGGGGGAGGTGCCCAGAGGAGCCCAGAGCGGCCTCCGGCACCGTTTCCGGACAGATCCGGTGGATCCGCTGGATCCGCTGGATCCGGTGACGAATCCCAAACCGGCGCCCTCGCTTGAGACATCCTCACAAAACCGGCTCCGGGGGAGGTGCCCAGAGGAGCCCAGAGCGGCCTCCGGCACCGTTTCCGGACAGATCCGGTGGATCCGCTGGATCCGGTGACGAATCCCAAACCGGCGCCCTCGCTTGAGACATCCTCACAAAACCGGCCCCGGGGGAGGTGCCCAGAGGAGCCCAGAGCGGCCTCCGGCACCGTTTCCGGACAGATCCGGTGGATCCGCTGGATCCGCTGGATCCGGTGACGAATCCCAAACCGGCGCCCTCGCTTGAGACATCCTCACAAAACCGGCCCCGGGGGAGGTGCCCAGAGGAGCCCAGAGCGGCCTCCGGCACCGTTTCCGGACAGATCCGGACAGATCCGGTGGATCCGCGCCCCGGGGGAGGTGCCCAGAGGAGGAATGAGGAGGAGGAGGAGGAGGAGGAGGAGGAGGAGGAGGAGGAGGAGGAGGAGGAGGAGGAGAAGATGATGGAGCTGCGGGGTGGAGGAGGACAGACGGAGGCAAGAGAAGGATGGAGGAGGAGGAGGAGGAGGAGGAGGAGGAGGAGGAACCTCATCCTCACCCTCGCCAACAAGCGCACGCACCTTCTTCTATATACAGAAACTCCCGATCAACCGCAGAGCGGCCGGCTAGTACTATTAATCTTCTTCGTCTTCCGCTTCCTTCTGCTCGTCCTCCTGGTCCACCTCCTCCTTCTTGTTCAGCTCCTCCCCCCTCCTCCCCTTCCCCCCGTAGGGGTTTTGAGCAAGACCCCTGGAGACAACAATGTTCAAACTTCACTAAAAATGAGGAAACAACCGATCTACCGTTTTGTGTATAGCATATGCGCCGGATTGCAACTTGATTCCTTTTGTGGCGGACTAGAAATATATTGTTTTGTGGCGGATTACGAATTACCTATGTGGCGGATTACACATGTTTTTTTTTGCGGCGGGTTACAAAAATATTTCTTTGCTGGCAGATTGCAAATTGATTCCTGGTGTATTTGCCGGATTGCAAAAGGATTCTCGCTGCAGCGGATTACACAAGGATTCCTTTTGTGGGAGGTTTTGAACATGAATTTCAGTTGTGGCAGATTTCAAAACGATTCCTGTTGTGGCGGATTCTGAAAAATGGTTCCTCTTGTGGCGGAATACAAAAGGATCCCTTTTGTAGCGGATTCGATAAGGGTTTCTGTCGCGGCGGCTTACAATTTGATTCCTCTTGTGGTGGATGACAAAAAGGATCCCGTTTGTGGCGGATTACAATAGGATTCTTCTTGTTGCGGATTACACATTGACTCCCTTTTGTCGAGGGGCACTTGGAGGAAATCAAAGAACAAAATAACAAACATACAATACAATCGATGCGAATTGCGAACGCTGTTGTGTTTTCACAATGTTTTTGGTTTCGAATGCTGCGAACAGTGGTAACATAAACAACGCTTTCAGCATCCAGAAACTCCAAAACGCTGTGTTTTACAATGTTCGCGGCCCCGGGAGGTATAACAACATGTTAAAACACATTGTTTTGGAGCCCTCGATGCTGAAACCAGTGTGCTTTACCATTGTTCGTAACATTCGACACCCAAATCATTTAAACATATCGATGTTCAATGTTCATTGATTTCCTGTTTTTCTGTTTTATGTTGTTCCTTGGTCTCCTCCAAATCTTCCCCGATGAAGGGGAATCAATGTGTAATTCACCATAAAAGGAATCCTTTTGTAATCCGCCACAAAAGGAATCTTCTTGTAATCCGCCACGAAGGGGATCAATTGGAAACCCACCAAACAATAAATCCTTATGTAATCAGCCACATACGGATCCTTTTTGTAATCCGCCACAGAAGGAATCAATGTATAATCCACCACAAAAAGAATCCTTTCGTAAACCACCACAAAGTGAGTCCACTTCTAATCGGCCACAAAATAATCAAAGTGTAATCCGCCAGAGAAGAAATTCAATTGCATGTCGCCACAAAGGGAATCAAATTGTAATCCGCAAAGAAAAATTCTTTTGTAATCCGCCACATAAGAAATCATATTGTAATCCGCCACAAGAGGAATCCGTTGGTAATCCACCACAAAGAGAATCAAGGTGTAATCCGCCGCTGCAAGGATACAGTTGCATTCCGCCACAAAGGGAAACAACGTGTAATCCACCACACAAGGAATCCTTTTGTAATCCGCCACAACAAGAATCAATGTGTAATCCGCCACAAGAGGAATCCGTTGGTAATCCGCCACAGACAAAATTGAAATCCGCCACAAAGGGAATCAAAGTGTAAACCGCCGCAAAAGAAATTCCTTTTTGCTCCGACATGACACAAGATCCTTGTGCAAGCCGCTACTCGTAACTTGTGGCGGCTTGCACAAGGCATTGCAACTAGTGACTAGTTGCAATGCAAGACCGCAACACAAGGATGTAATCCTCTCACAGAAGCGAACACTGTGGAATCCGCAACAGAAGAATACTTGTGTAAAGCCGCCGCAAGAGGAATTCGCTTCTAAGGCCGCCATAGAAGGAGTCTGTATGGGGTCCCCGAAAAAAGGAGCCGTTTGGTAAGAGGCCGCGACAAAAACATTTCTTTTATAATCCACGCAAGGAATCCTTTAACATATCGCTAAAATAAGAACCAATATGTAACCCATTACAAAAAAATGATCGCATGGCAAAGTTCCATTGAAAGAACCAACATCTACTCCGCGATGAAACCAGGAAAGGGGGAGGGAGGAGGAGAACGGAAAAATTAGGATAATGGCGTTGTGAGAGGTTCCGGAACTCTGGAAAACGGGGTCGAGGACTCAAGCTGGAAAAGAATGGAGGATGGACGTGGGAGAGAAGACGGAGGTAGAGGAATAGAAGAAGAGGGGGGCAGTCGTAGTAGTACTAGTAGTAGTCGTAAAAGTAGCAATAGTAGTAGTAGTAGTAGTAGTAGTAGTAGTAGTAGTAGTTGTAGTAGTAGTAGTAGTAGTAGTAATAGTAGTAGTAGTAGAAGTAGTAGTAGTAGTGATACTAGTAGTAGTAGTAGTAGTAGTAGTAGTAGTAGCAGTAGTAGTAGTAGTAGTAATAGTAGTAGTAGCAGCAGTAGCAGTAGTAGTAGTAGTAGTAGTAGTAGTAGTAGTAGTAGTAGTAGTAGTAGTAGTAGTGGTAGTAGTAGTAGTAGTAGTAGAAGTAGAAGTAGAAGTATAAGAAGAAGTAGTAGTAGTAGTAGTAGTGGTAGTAGTAGTCGTAGTAGTAGTAGTAGTAGTAGTAATAGTGGTAGTAATGGTAGTAGTGATGGTAGTAGTAGTCGTGTTAGTAATACTAGTGGTGGTTGTGGGAGTAGTAGTAGTAGTAGCAGTAGTACCAATCATCTGTGCGATGGTAAAACCAGTAGAGTGCAAAGCACAGTGCACAAAAGTAGCAGAAGCATAACCGTTGCCCAGAATGCGTGGCACCACTGCCTTCACAATGCGCAAGGTGATGATGATGGGCAGCATTGTGATTGTGATTATGACGATGATGCCGACGACTTTGATGAGGATGGTAAGAATGGTGAAGCTGCTGGTGATGTGGATGGCGACGGTGATGGTGGTAATCATGGTGGGGACAATGATGGTGTTGATTGAGGTGGCGGTGGCGGTGGTACAGGTGCCTGCGAGGATGGCCGCGAGGGGGAGGAACTGGAAGCAGAGTAATCATGCCGAGTTTCGAGAAAGAAAAACTGAGATGGGAGGGATGTGTACTGAAGAAGACGAGGGAGGGAGGTGGCAAGGGTGATGATGATGGCGGTGATGATGATTATTGTGATGCATGTGGCGGTGGTAGCGATGAATATCACGATGTTAAGGAAACGAAGAAAATATGGGAAGCTCTGAGGAGGGTGGTGGGACCCAGTGGGCGGCATGGCGATGCTAATGGTGATGATGATGATGATGATGATGATGATGAGGAGGAGAAGACGAACGATGAAGATGGGGATGGCGATGACGGTGCTGATGGTGGGTGCTTGTGGTGGTTGCGGGTAGTGGTGATAGGTATGGTGGGACTGACGATCAGGATGATGATGAGGAGGCAAAGTAACCATGATTAGTTCTGAGGAGGAATGAGGGAGGAGGCGGAAAGGCCCACACATGGAATCAATGTGCAATCCGCCACCGAAGGAATCCTCTTTTCATCCGCCACAAAGGGATATAACCCTCCTCAAAAGTTTAGGCGACGAGACTGGCGCGGGAACTGAGACCAGGGAATTTCCCTTGATTGACCGCTCGCAAAGCGAAACAAAACAACACCATCATCACAATCACCATCACCATCACCATCACCATCACCATCATCATCACCATAATCATCATCATCATCCTCATCATCCTCATCATCCTCATCATCTCATCATCTCATCATCTCATCATCTCATCATCTCATCATCCTCATCCTCATCCTCATCCTCATCCTCTTCATCATCATTGTCTGTGCGCGCATCGTAGTTCATGTTAATGATCGCATATGAAGACATCGAAAGCACGGGTAACCAGGAATGATGCAGCGAACTCAACGGAACTGCTAGTTCCAGGGGACTTGTTTAGAACCCCCCCCCTTCCCCCCTCACTCCCTCAGCCCCCCGCCCCGCCACGCTGCGCCACCTCCCTCCTCCGCCTCCTCCCCCTCCTCTCTCGGCGGCGCGCAGAAGGGGGTAGGGAGAGGGGGGACGGCTTCTTCGAAGGAGGCTGCCTCTTAGAAGGCGCCAGTCCTACATCTACTACAGGGAAGGCCCGCGCCCTTGAGAAGCAGGGGTGCTTCTAAGAAGCCGTCCCCCCTCCCCCTGCCCCCCTCTGCGCGTGGCCGACTAGCCCCCTCCCCACCTCCTCCGCATCCTCCTCTTCTCTCCTTCGGCGTCATCCCAACATACTTATACTCTTATACTATATGTGCGTCGCCCCCCACAGGGGCGTCGCGCACACCGAGAAATCTTATAGTATATGCGTCGTGGCGGGCGCTTTCCGGCCACATTGCTCTGGAAACCATCTACTACAAGATGGGTATACTATATGTTATGTTCGGGTCGGACGCGCGCCTCCAAGGAGGACACATAGTATCAATATGTTCCTGTGCGTCCCACCACTCCTCGGCCTTCTCCGGTCCCTTCCCGCTGCTGCTCCCCCCCCGCCCCCGCTCCCACTTGGCCGCTCCCGTTCTCCCTGCTCCTCCGCCCGCGGCCCACCCCGCTCGTCGCCCCTCGCCGCGCCCCCTGCGCGAACCCCCCCCCCCCCCCCGGGGTGCCCCCGCGGGTGACGCGCGGGGCCGCCTGCGAGAAGTCGAGCGACCCCATGGAGTGGGAGGGCTGCAGGAAGCTGATCTTGTCCCCGCCTTCGGGGGCGGATGCGTCGGAGGAGCGAGGGAGGGGAGGAGTTGCGAAGGGAGGAGTTGCGAAGGGGGGAGGACGAGGAGGAGGAGGAGGAGGAGGAGGTGAAGGAGGAGGAGGTGAAGGAGGAGGAGGAGGAGGAGGAGGAGTTGAAGGGCTGCAAGAAGCTGATCTTGTCTCCGCCTTCGGAGGCTGCCGACAAGGTCTTCCGCGAGGCACGCTGGACGACGCCGGAAGAGAGGAAAACGAAAGAGGGAACCCATACAGAAAGCAAAGGGGCGAGGAAGAGAAGAAGGACAAGCGCGAGTTGAACAAGCGAAGACACGGGAGAAGGGAGAACGCGGGGGCCAGAGAAGACAGAAGGCGTAAGAGGGAAGCACGAAGGCTCGGTGGCAGAGAGAGAGAGAGAGAAAGAGAGAGAGAGAGAGAAAGAGAGAGAGAGATATAGAAAGAGAGAGAGAGAGAGAAAAGATAGAAAGAGAGAGAGAGAGAGAGAGAAAGAGGTAGAAAGAGAGAGACAAACCGACAGAGAGAAAGAGTGGAGGCCAGGGGCAGTGTCGAGGGCGGGGCCGGCTCGGGGGGGGGGGGGCGGGAAACGTCGAGCTGGTATCAGCGATGCGTCGCCGACAGATCGGCGACCGGCCCCTGGTGGAAGGGGCCCCAGGACACACAAATAAATACACACAAATCAAAAGATTCCCCATCTTTTCCGATTTTTTTTTGGGGGGGTTGTCTTCCCCCCCACTCCCCCTATTTTTGCACATTTTCCTGGGGGTCGACGACTAATTGTGTCTGTGTGTTTCTTTCCCTCCTGATTGGTAGCGAAGGCGCGCTCCTGGGCGGGGTGTGTGATCGGGCCCCCGTCGGCGACGACAGAGCGATCGGGGCTCCCCCCTGAACAAGGCCCCTTGGTTGGCGGCGCGCAGAGGGGGGTAGGGGGAGGGGGGAAGGCTTCTTAGAAGGAGGCTACTTCTTAGAAGGCGCCGGCCTTACATTTGTAGACAAGGCCCGCGCCTTCTAAGAAGCAGGGGTGCTTCTAAGAAGCCTTCCCCCTCCCCCTACCCCCCTCTGCGCGCCGCCAACTTGGTTTTCGGGCCATACCGCGGTTCTCCAGCGGCCCTTCGGGACGAGCCTGGCACCCCTGGACGCCTCTCGGCGAGGCGCAGCTGCTGGAAGGCACCCCGAGGCTGGAAAGCCGCCGAGAACCGACGAGAGCGCCCCGAAAACCCTGAACCTGGAGAAAAATCGTCTTCCCTCTAAACCTTGCTTTCCCTGAGCCTATCCCCCTGTAGCGTTGCCCCTGTTCCTCCCTTGCCGGTCTCCTGCCCCTCCCTCGCCCCCTTCTTCGCCCACCTCATGCATGTGCCTCCTCCTCCTCCTCCACCTCCTCCTACTCCGCCGACCTCCCCTCCTCCTCCTCCCTCCTCCTCCTCCTCTCCCTCCTCCTCCTCCCTCCTCCTGCGGCCTCCTCCTCCTCCTCCCTCCTCCTCAGGCTCCATCCTGCTCCTGACCCCTGATCGCCTCCTCCGCCTCCTCCTCCTCTTCCTCCTAAAACTTCGCCCATCAAAACTAAATTGAGTTGTGCAGCAGCAGGGTTTGACCGAGATCGGCAATGCGCCGACCTTCGCCGAGAGGCGCTGTCGCTGGCGCCTTCCTGTCGACGAGTGCCAAGGTCTAGTTTTGAGTGGGGTACCTGGAACCTCAAATCTTCTCCCAAGTTCGTCGGAGCCCGGTCTCAGTGAAGCCTTACCTTACCTCCTCCTCCTAATATTATTGTGATTCTAATGATTATCATTATTATTACTATCATTATTATCAATATTATTTCCCCTCCTCCTCCTCTTCCTCCTGGGTGGCCTCCTGGATATCCTTCCGCCTCGGCCGCGCCGCCGATGCCGGCGAGCTTCTGCGACGACCTGGGGGTCGTGGAGGTGCACGCCGCCGCCAGGCCGGCAGGAGATGGAGGAAGGAGGAGAAGGAGGAGGAGGATGTTCCAGGGGGGTAGGTGTACCCATCGATTGGGAGAAGTAGGTAGAAGCATGAAGTAGGAAGGCGTTGGAACAAGATTGGGTCTCCGCCCGCCCGCTGAAGAGGACGGAAGAGGGGAAGCCACTGGATCAGTGGAATCTGGGAATTCAAAAATACATTGCACCTGCTTTTAACAACCGATGTGTATTCAGATCGTCTCCGTCAGGTGCTCGGGGGGGTCTAGGGAGCCCGAGGGTGCTCCAGGAGGCTCAGAGGAGGCTCCAGGAGGGGCGGGGGGGGGGAGGGGGAGGGGGGGGGCAGAAACCCCCAAACACGCCAAGTGCATGCTCTGACCTCCGCTGTACAAACTGTTCCATCCTTGGCGTCTTTCTTACACCTTGGACGCGTTGGTCTCATAGCCTCTCCCGCGCCTTCGAAAGGCCCCCCCCCCCAGCATAACTTCCCCCAGAACAACCCTTCAGCACAACCCTCCTAGCACAATCTCCGCAGCACAGCCCCCAACACACACACACACACACACACACACACACACACGCACACACGCACACACGCACACACGCACACACGCACACACGCACACACGCACACACGCACACACGCACACACGCACACGCACACACACAGACAGACAGACAGACAGACAGACACACACACACACACGCACACGCACACGCACACGCACACACACAGACAGACAGACAGACAGACACACACACAGACACAGCACAATGATGGGCGTCTGAATATGAGTGGGTCTGAAAATTCGCCAGCCCAACGGGCCAGAGGCGTGCTAATATCTCCTGTCGCTAATTTAGAAGTTTTCTAGTTCGCGCGCGCGGGGCCGCCTTTAGGGCCCCCCGGATCAAAAGTACCCCAGCTGATCCCTGGCGAACCTTTACTCGGAGATGGTTTCCCTCCTGGGCGCGGCCTCTCAGGCCCCCCAGAGCGCGCCAAGAGAGCAAGAGGGCTCCGAGTCACCGAACGACCAGTCCAAGACCCCAAGATGGCCTCCAGACGGGCCAAGAAGCCTGCAAGAAGCCCCAAGCATCCTCCAATAGACCTCCCAAGATGGCCCCCAGAGGCGCAAGTTTATGTTTTTCCATAAGTTTTTGAAGGATTTGGGAGTTCTCGCCTTTTCTGCTTTCCGACGCTCCAAGATGGCCCCAGAAGCCCCCAAGAGCGTCCCAAGACGGTCCGAGAGGCCCCCATGAGAGCCCCCAGACGGTCCAAGACGGCCCCAAAACGGCCCCAGAGGCGCCCAAGATCGCCCAAGAGTGCCCCAAGAGGGGCCCAATGAGGGGAACACGAACCACCAATTCGAGCCTTCCGCCCCAAGAGGCACCCAGGAGGCCCTCAGAGGCCCCCAAGAGAGCCCATGAGACCCCCTGGAGGCCCCACGAGGCCCCAAAGAGGCCCAAAAAGAGGCTCCCAAATGCCCCCAAACGGACCCCGAACGGCCCCCAAGAGGCCCGCCACGATCGCGCAGGCAAACGCCTGCGACGGGACAATACGGGCTGGCGGAGTGAGCGAAGCGACCAAATAATAAAAAACAAGACGACGGAGATCTAAGTAGCAAGTTCTGCCACGGATCCCAGCGCCGCTCCATTGCAGCACAACCCCCCGGCACCCCCGCCCCCAGCACAAGCCCCCAGTACAACCCCTCCTCCTCCTCCTCCTCCTCCTCCTCCTCCTCCTCCTCCTCCTCCTGCTCCTCCCTCCCTCCTCCTCCTCCTCCTCCTCCTCCTCCTTCTCCAGCTCCTCCTTCATTCCTTTTCCTTATAAATAACTTCTCCCTGTCGCACCCCGAAGCCAGTTTTTAGGGCGGGCCAGGCGTTTTGCCTGAGACTTCCTCACCATTTGTGACCCTGACGCTCAGAAAGTGGCAGAAGCTTCACAGATGGAGGGCGGGTGGTTTTCAAAATGAGGTTCTCGCCCTAGCGCCGCAGACATTCGTTTTAAACATTTGCAAGAGTTTCACGGATTGAGGGCGGGTGGTCTTCAAAATGTGGCTCTCGCCTTAGCGCCGCGCACATTCGTTTTAACAAATTGTTAGAGATTCGAGGATTGAGGGCGGTTCCTTTTCAAAATGTGGCTCTCGCCTTAGCGCCGCGCACATTCGTTCATACAATTTGGAAGTCACGAATTCCCATGGCCAACGTACCAGAAATGGTGATCTGGAAGGATTCAAGATTACGCGGGTGCAACAATTAGGTTGATTCGCAGTGTTGACATCCCAAGAATGGCGTTCTGGCAAGGTTCCAGATCGTCAAGACGCAGCAATCAGGTTGATCCGTGCCGTTGGAATCCCGAGAACAATGTTTTGGCTTGCTTCAGGGTCTTCAAACGGTTGTCTTCCAACGAAGCAGCTTCCTCAATGGAAAATGAACAGTTGTAGGGGCCTATGAAAAGGGAGCTTGGAGGTAGGGTTAATTCCAAAATCGTTGATGACTCTTTGATTTACACTGGTCCTCCTCCTTCTCCTCCTCTTCCTCCTCCTCCTCCTTTTCCTCCTCCTCCTCCTCCAACTTCCTCCTTCCTCCCTCCTCCTCCTCCTCCTTCCTCCTCCTCCTCCTCCTCCTCCTCCTCCCCTCCTCCTCCTCCTCCTCCTCCTCCTCCTCTCCTCTCCAGCTCCCTCCCTCCTCCTCCTCCTCCTCCTCCTCCTCCCTCCTCCTCCTCCTCCTCCTCCTCCTCCTGCCCCTCCCCACTCCCACCTCTCACCTCTCCCGTTTCGATTGGCTTCGACGCTCACCCCCGACCTCCTCCTGCTCCTCCTGTCGCCCGCACCCCCTGGGACGGTCCGGCGCCTCCTCCCCCCCCCTGTTGAGGGGGCTGCCCCAGCCCGGGGCGCCACCCCCGAGCTGCGGGGCGAGGCGGGGCTGATGGGAGGGACGGCCCTGCAGTCGGAACTGATGCTAAGGATGCGCAGTAAGGATGCATGCCCCCTGGACGCCCGTCCCGTGTCG